GAAAAAAAATCTGGAAAGATACTAAAAAGGTTAACATCTTTTTGTAGAAGAATTATAGATGATTTGTTTTTATAGTTTATTTTCCAATTTTTCTACAGTGATATAATGATCATAAATTCATTGCATAATAAACAGCTATTTTTAAGAAGCCCTGATTGACTATTTGATGACTTTAAGAAATTACTGTTTTTTTTTTTAGATATGATATTATGGCTATGTTGTATAAAAAAAATCCTCATATCCCAGACACACAGATAGAGATGAAGTGATATGACATCAGAGGGATGATGGAAGGGGTATATGTGGGGCAGTTTTGTCCAAGAAATGAAAATTATTAAAGAGCTGGGTGATTATTTATACTGGAGCTCATAGTATTTTTCTGCATCCTTTTGTAGATGTTTTGAATTTTCTATAATAAGAGAGTAAAAAAGGAGGTCAGTTATGTACAGCATGGACAGTATAGTTTCACTGTGACTTCAAAAAAGTTGTGGACATGAATACAAAAAACAGAAGGAAATCCAACAAAATGTGCATGCATCTTTGATTCTCTTTGGGTAGTGGCATTATGTGTGACAGTATTTTGTTCTATGAGCTTCCAAGTATTCTACAATGTCTACATGTTGCTTTTGCACTAAGTAAAAAATCCTCTCCCTTAAAAAGAGTTTCCTCAGAAAATAGCAGTAGTCTCATAGACACTGAGGAGAGACTAGTGGTTACCAAGGGGGAGGGGTTGGGATGGGTTGTAGGAGTGTGAGGGGAATAAAGGGGCACAAAAATTCACAATCACAATATAAGTCGGTCATGGGGATGGTAGTACAGCATGGAGAATATAGTCAATGATTCTGTAACACCTTACACGTTGATAGTAACCGCACTAGAGGGGGTGAGAATGCAATAATATGGGTAACTGTTGAACCACTGTGTGGTATATTTGAAACCAATGTTAGATTGTATATCAATGACACTTAAATAAAAAAATAAAAAAAACAAGAGTTTTCTCATTTCCAAGCAGTCACCCAGATAATAACATCTATTGAAAAATGAAGTGTGAATGTGCTCACAGCCCTGTGGCAGCCTGAAAGGCCATGAATTTCTTGAGGAGCTCCTTTAGCCCATGACACCTGGAATTCTGTCCTTGGGATTTCCAGAGCCATCAGACAGGGACATTCTAGAAGCTGCCCAAACTTTTGGGCATAATCTGGAAGATTCATAAAATCACTCACAAAATGGATGGTTAAAAAAACAGTAACAGAATCAAACTTTGGGTGAGAAACCGAGATACTACCAAGTTTGTCATTGTGAATTTAGATTGCCTTGGAGTTCACCAGGTCTCCATACAGAGTAGTTTATAAAAGGAAATCTGCAGTGAATTAGGAAACAAATAAACACTAAAGAAGGAGAGAGAGAATTGGAAGACCAAGTCTCTTTTATTACATATATGTGCAACCTTCCAAAGAATGTAGTATTTAGGGGCACAAAAATGCATGACTAATAACTCACCATAAAAAAAAATCTACCCCCAAACAATCCAAAAATAGGTAGGCAAAAAGTAGCAGGTGCTCCAGAGACTTATGTAAATTATTAGAAAAGATGAAATGGGAAGATTTTGCTATACATAATAACTATCATGTGAAATTATCTTAGTAGAGAAAATCAAATCCAATTATGGCAATGCTAGGCAGAAATGACATGCATAGAAAAACCGATCTCCATGAGATCTTTCTCTCTCCCCTAAAATTTCTACATCTTTGTGCTTTTATCACATACTAATTTAGATTACACTTATTTGGAAATATCTTATCTCCCCTGCTGGATTTTAAGCTTCCTGAATGTAAAAATCCAGTCTGTAAATTCTGAGAATGTTTTACACACGATAAGCAATCCATCAATGGTTCAAACCATCAAAAGTTTGTAGTATCAATACAAGGATATAATGGTGAATGATGTATTACACCATTCTCAAGGAATTTATTGAAAATCCAGATAAAATACTGATACATCAATACTATCAATAACAGCTAGGAATAATGCTCTTTTTAAGAGATTAGATGTTGGAAGAAAAAGAGTTGCTATATACAGTGCCACTATGTGTTCCTGGAAAACATCCTATTCTGCAAAAGTGTGCACAAAAAGAAACAGGACTTAATGGGACAGCCTGCTCAACATCTACGAGCTTTGTAGCCAGAACAGTAACAAAAACATGAACCATCCTACTTAAATTCCTAGCGTGGTTAAAGCACTACTGTGTGTGCACCTAGCACCCTTACCAGCCTTAAGTGCCCGGGCTCCTGCTTCTTTGAAATGTAGGTGCTGAAGGGGATTCATTTCCAGTAGAGACTATTTTCATAAAAATTAACCCAAGGATTATTAATCCCTTGTTTTTCATGAACCCATTATTTTCATACAAGGGGAAATGTCTCTGCAGCTGGTTCATGTGCACCAGCAGCATTTCAGGTAAGGCTCATGTGAAAGAGAGATTTCTGGGCCTTTCCTTATTTTTTTTTGTATGGTTTTTTGTATTTTTTTAAGTCCTACTCTGTGAGAAAGCTAGTCTTTGATTGTTATAAAACATATTTCAAGGTGCTGGGAAAAAATCAAGCTTGAACTAACACAACTGCTGGGTTATACTAACATCAGTCCTAAATGCATGTAAGGTAATTGTGCAGAAGAAAGACATGTTAAGCAGTGCAGACAGACAGGGAAGTGGCTCACTAGGTATTGGCATATGTGCCCAAGTAGGAGTAGCTGTACTAGTTGTAATGATGTCTCCTAATGACAGTTAGTGGCAGGCCTAAGGCAGAGCATGTTATACAGATTACCTCACTCATTCTTCACACAGACCACGAAGTAGATACAGAAACATATTTATTAACATTAAGTATTAATCTCTATCCAAGGTGACAAAGCTAGTAAGTGGTGAAACTAGGATTTGAACCTAGATCTTTCTGACTCCATGGCTTCAGGTTTTAATAACCACAATGAAATAACATCTTACCCAGTGAGTGTGAAATGATTTTATAATTGTAATGGGTAACGTAGCCCAAGGATCTTTATCCAACTGTTACATGTAAACCTAAATGTTGATATAACTTACCTAGAAAACCACTGAGTATTGTAGAGTGCTTATTATTTTTCCAGATTTAAGTTTTCTGGCTAGGAAGTAAGGGAAATCTTTGGACAAAGTCAAAGGAGAATTCCAGGAGGATGATACTCCTCTTCACTTCTTTCCAGCTGGGTCAGAGGCCCTGTGTGATGACTCAGGCTATGCAAAGATCTTGGAATGACACATGATGCACTTCTGAGCTCCATGTTAAGACATCCGACTATGAGGTGGGGGTGGAGGGAATTATGACTGGGAAATTCATACCCAATGAGAGCCAGGTCTCTAGGTATGGATGCCAAAAAAATAATTTTGGTGGAATTTTGACTCTTCATTTCATATACATTTTATTCAACATCTATGAATTATGCACTTACTAGTGTCTGGAATTAACTATGTGAAGTATTGGGGCTATATAACTGAATAATCCATCAAGACCTCACAGGCCTGTGGAGCTAACTGTATTTCATTGAACGTACTCTTTGCAGGCACTCTTCTTGGCACTTTGCGTGTGTTAATTCATTTAATTCTACAGTGGAACATGAGTAGAGGAGAAAGAGACTAATTCTATTTGGGATGGTGGGGAGGATGGCGTTCTGGGAGGAGTGCCAGTTCAGCAAAGCCTTCATAGCGGATGTTAAATGGCTATTAGGGTCAGCTGACAAACTGGCACGGGCAGAGGCTCAGAGGTGGGAAATGGCCCAGCATGCTTGCAGTTTGCTGTCATTAATATATGAAGTAAATAGGGCAGGGGAGGCAGGAAATGAGTGCACAGAAGTAGAAAGAGATCAGACAGACCAAGAGATCAGAGAGGGGACAAATTCAATTCTCTGAATTGCCCAACCAAAGGGGTTTGTGTTTAGGTGGGAAATGCTGAAATAGGTTTTAAATAGAGGCGAGTGAAATAACAACACAATTTGCCCTTGTGAATCTAGCTGAAGTGTAAAATGATAGATGTGGTGGGTGGGACGAGAAGGCAAAACCTAGAAGTAGAAAGTACGCCTAAGGGACTTCCCCAGTTATAAACCAAGACACTAGTGATGGGCGTAGGGGAGGGGGGAATGAGTAGAGAGATTTTTTTGAGGTCAGCAGGATTTTTTGATTCAGGTGGGGAGGTGGGGGAAGGAGTTCTCTTCATAAGAGTAAAGCTTGATTCTTTCACAAGCTCTCCCTACGTGACTGAAGTCTGCTCTAGACCCTGATGTCAACTTGCATTCAAAGGGACTCTGCATTTTTAGATGTACGGAACTCGATTGCAGTTATTACCCAATTCCTGGTATCATTTTCATCTTCCCTCCAGTAGTGCCGAAAGCCCCAGCTAAAGAAAACGGAATATTTTTACTCTGCGGCTGATTTATCGGTTTCATAATAGATCATACACAGTCCCAGAGCAACTCTGGCTATTAGCTGGGGATGCCCACTGACAGATAATTACTACCTGGTGTTCCTGCCCTGTAATAATGATCATTTGTCTCATTTTACCTTATTTCTTGAGATAACATTCCCAGATGGATAAATTACCCGACTCCTAAGACTGGGGAGAAGACAAGAACCACAAGCCAAAAAGAAGTCATATTTCCATGCTTACAACCTCCTCCTCTCCTTTGCTGGTCGACACCTGCTTTTCTGCTTTATTCCAACCACTAAGTGGGAAGCTCTTGGGCTCTGTGGAGCCTGAGAATGTTCGGGGGCAAAGCCCACTCAGCTAAGGGTGAGGCCACAGCTGGGAGGATGACTCATGCTAGATCCAGAAAGAAAACAAATGGTCTCAAAAATCTGGTGGTAATGTGGTAATGTGGGAGGGAAGGCTATGCGGAAAGGGGCCACTGCCTTTTCCAGGAAATTGGTTAGTGAAACAGTTCTGGTGGGAAAAGACCAAAAAAAAAAAAATTTCACTTACTGATACCAGAAATCAGATCATTAAATCTTTCCTTAGGAAAGAGGGGGTTTTCCAGCCCACGGAAATAGAGCTTCAGGACACCAGCGACCGAGTTAATGTCATGATTACTCTGATCATCAGCCAAAGGGTTTTCACCTAAAAAAAAAATCAGTTACATGCAGTTGCTCCTCTTTTGCCTCTGAATAAAAATGTGTTTCTATACTCACACACATGTTTCTATGTATACATGCATCTTTTAGTTACACCTTATGAAAGATTATATGGTACTAAAATTAAAATAATTGGTTTAGATATCCCACCCCATGATTAACCTAAAAATAGTTAGCTAAAATAAAGCTTAAAAAAAAACTTATTATCCCAAATAATCCCTTACAAGTTACACAAATCTTAAAATAAAATATTGTGGGATTTTTAATTTCATCCAACTTTCTTTCGAAAGTGAAAATCTGCAATCTTAGTTTGACACGAATTCACATACTATAGGCTGTGTCTCTTACCCTACTGGGAAAAAGACAATATAGATCTGTCTGGATATGCTATATGCGTCAGTAAAATTTATCAGAAATATTATAGGATTTACCTAATTGTGAATAACTACAACTAAATAAACATTTCCCAAGGCAGCATGGTGGTATTCGCAGCACATCTGAAAGCCACTGTCAGCAGTGGGAGATTTTGAAATCAGACAGAGGAATTTGAAAATGTACCCTTAACAGTACCAAGAAATCTGAATACAGATGGAAAAATTTAAAACTATATCACAAATATGAAATTATATTATTCTTTATGAGCAGTTTAAAAATATTAATTAGGTAACTGGTCTCGCTAGTCCATTGTACTAAGAATTAAACTGAGATAAAGTCCTTAAGAAGTTTGACATAATATGCAGCCTTAAATCAAACTCCGTATTTTATTCACGTATCTGCTCTTTTCTTCTAAAGTTCACAAAAATTGTATATTGCATTTTAACTTTTTTTTTTGCCTATTGGGGCAGTTTATTTTCAGGGACCTGTGGCTCCGTTTACTCCGCTCCTAGGGTAGGAAATAACTGAACACAAATTATTTTTCACCAAAAATATTATTATCAGCACAGTATTTTTTTTCCCCTCCATTGTGAGAAAGCCTCATCAAAGAGATCACATATAACAAATACCAGGGGAATTTCTAAGGAAAAATGTTAATGAATTTTGCCTGTGGTGGCTGGCACAGGAACCTGATGTTTTCCTATATTTCAACTCATCCTGAATATGGTCAGTGTAAGAGACTTGGAACTCTTTGTTGCTGGTGGGGAGAAGCTGCTCTGCTCTCCACACCATATCAGTCAAAGAATCTGCACCAGGAAAAACAATCTGGCTCCAAGGTAACCTCTTCAACCAAGATTTCAATCTTTCAATGGCTCTGTGCCAAGGAAAATGGGCTGGAGAGAAAGAAAAGGTTGCCTTGTCTCCATGCCACAGACTCCCTCTGCATTCTTGGCTTGACTTCCAAGCAGAGGAAGGAAGGTGCAGAGGTATCCAGAAGGAGACACAGTACAAATCATAATTGGAAAGTATTAATAATTAAGAGCCATCACTGAAAAGCTAGGCATTTTCATAGATTATAACTAATCCTCACACCGATCCTGAGGACACCAAGGCCAAAGCGAGATGAGCATCCTGATCCAAATCACACAAGGAGTCGATGAAAGAGCCTGATCTGAGTCCAGGTCTCCCCAACCTAGGTAAGTGCATAGTTTGGCTAGTCATAATGTGTGAATTAACAGTTCAGTAGGATTTATCTGACAGCCAATTGTGAACAAGAGTAAGCACCAAACAAGGTCACAGAGAATAGTCTGAGAATAAGAAGGAGGAGAAGGAAAGGAGTACCCACAGAGGAAGTAGACAGGAAGCTGGGATGAGTCGCTCCAACACCTGCTATCCAGGCCCAGGTCTGTTCCTGCCACTCTCCCAGCCCCCGTCCACGTGGTGTGCCTGACACCTGTGCTAGGGATCACCAGGGCCAGCACTACCCCAGGAGACAAAGCTCATATGCTTTCTACACTTCATAACAAAGTCTTAGGACTTCGGCTTTGTTTCCCAGCTATTCTAAATAGATTCTTACTTTGACATCCAAAATGAAGTGAATGTAGAGAGAAAGGTGTTGAAGATATACAGAATGAATATGCCACTTCACTCTACAGAAAAGGGAGACTTCTTAACATGGTTTGCTTATAGGTACAGACGTGCAATTACCTCTCTCAAATGAATTTTTAATATCATTGACTTCCACCTGGGAACCAGACACTCTGAAAATCCCCTGATGCTGAAGACCTAAAGAGAATGTAAGGAAGAGAGGATGAAAGATCCCATCACATCTTCTAGGTCCCCTTTTCCAAATAATTGCATTTTAAATGATAAGACACATTTACTGAAGTGCTCCTAGTTGTTATTTTTTAAAATAAGAATTTCAGAGTAGTTTATGGCTCACCATAGAGATTGATGAACCGAATACAGCTTTCCACAATAAGGGGGATAATCTGTCCTGAGTCCTGCGTAGAGATGGAAACCAGTTAACCGCAAAGGAGAAGCATAAATCACACAATAATGAAGCTTACAGTTTAGCCCTAATTAAAGAGTGATTTTTCACTCTTTTAGGTGATCATTTCCAAATACACCCCCCTTTAAAATATTCCACAAAGGCCAAAAATAAAATTATATTTAACCAAAGGTATATTTCAGTTCTGGAGTAAACCAAATTAAATACATTTAAGACAATCCTGTTTCAACGGACTCTGCTGTGCCCAGAGATGTCAAAGCTAATTCATCTCTTTTACTTATATTTAGGCTCCTGTGCCAAAATGAATACATGAATCACTCATTTTTGAAAAGGTTATTTATACAAGTAATTAATCTAATGGACCTAAAAAGAACTTTGTATATTCAAACCATGGCATGTCAGGACTGGTTATCCTAGTCACCAAACACAACTTTTCAGCCATCTCAGGAGCCTCTGCAATATCCCTGAGAGTACAACATCTAGATGACAACAGCTATAAAAGGGTTTACATGTTTCCAGATGCCATGATAAGAGAATTGCTTTGTAAATGCTAATATGTCATGTATTTATTTAGTCTGCATCAGAACTTACTCATCCTTATAGGTTTTTTCATTGTTATTTTTCTCGTGTTTTAAGGATTAAGAAAAAATTGCATAAAATGTGCATCCCATTAGATCTCATTTTCTTAGGAAGGACCATTTTTTGACCTTTTCCCCCCACATCTTGTAATATAGTCAGTGCACTTTACTGAACAAATGTGCATTCTGGAAATGCTTTAAAACATGTATAGGATGACAGATGAGATGAAGGAGCTGCTGAGGTCACAGTTAAATATGTATCAATGCCATGCACTCCATGTAGTTAAAGAAGGTTACTGACTATGGAGTTATTTTTCATGGATTTTTAAGACTGTGCTCTTTCAGGCATTAGATCTTTAAGAAAATGTGGAGGTTTAAGATGATTAGCTGACATCAGCTACTAATTCATGAGGAATTTTATTCTGAAACACAAGAAGGAGTTGGCTATCTTAATATATTAGAACAATTCAGAATACATTAGTCTTTCCAGTTAAGCATCAGGGGAAGGATCAGGAATAATTCAGTTCAGCAATTTAAACTCCACTTTTTTCTAGAACGGGCAATCTACTTCTTGAGGACTAGTCTTATTTTGGGTTTTAAGACAATCTAATTAGTGTATAAACCAGTTAATGGTTCAATTACTCCTGCAACTTATAATAAGTTTTTCTAATTAGTTAATTTGTTTTAGGAGTATAAACTTTATTAATTTTTTAAAGAAGGTTCTTAAGAATGGGAACTCTTTTTAGTGTGGACTAGATGGCTCAAGAATAGCAATATAATTACATCCAAACTTCCTGAATATGTGAGGGGATTTTTCCTTTAAGATGCAAGTATGTTTTAGGGGAAGTAACCTTGGTGTGAACCATTCATGTAACACTGTAATCTAAAAGAGCAACAAATACTTAAATGTAAGTGATAAAAGAAGAGTTTTAGTTTGCACCTTTGCTGCACTTAGTATTAAAGCAAAAAGAAAAACAAAGAATTAAAGGTTATTAAAAGGAAAATGTTTGCACTAAGAAAGTTCTAAATAAAAACACCTTAGAGTTGCATACTTAAAAACATTTTTGTCTTTCTGTTTAAACATAATTGCTAACCTTTTAGCTATTATCAGTAGGGAGTGATAAAGAGATGAGTGTGTGTGTTTTAATCAGATTTCATGTAGGCTGGATGCTTTGGCAGAAAATATTTTACAAGAAGTAAAACAAGGGGCTGTGCTCCACCCACCATTCAAACAAAGCCCTTTGTGCCTCAGTTTCTCTGTGGGAAAAGAAGATGATTTTTGCCCTTGCTATCTTAAGGGGACCCTGGGACCTCAACGGCCTGAGCATTTTTCAGCAGTGTAGGAAGTTCTGTACTGCTGTTTCACTGCTATTAACAAGGATTTTTAAATATGCCATTTGGGGCACTGAAGAGCTCACATAAGTGAATTTTCCAGGATAACTGGTTTACTTTTTTGGTTCCTACATGTGGTTTCCTTTTACTGTTCTTAGTGAAAAGTCTTCTAAAAATGTATGTGAATTCCAGTCATCTTAAGCAGTTGTTCTCATAGTGCTATCAAATACAATGGAATTGGACATGTACTTCTTTAGGCTTTTCTATATTCTCTTCCTCTGCCAGGCCATCAGCTGCACATTGCACTGTTATCATGTCGTAGTTCTCTTCTCTCCATCTAATTTATCCCTGCTTACAAGCCCTGGGCTGGAAAACTAGATAATCAAATTCGACAATAGTTTTTGTATTAAATTAGAGCCAATAAGGCTTTTCTGGGTTTAAGGCTATGGCAGTGGATTTGTGCTTGTTATTTAGGTCATCCAGTGGCTTTTCACTTAATTCCAGGGTTAGGGTTCATTTTAAGACCACCAGAGGTTTTTATTCTATGTGTGTATGTATATATGTATGTGTTTATCTATCAATGTGTATGTGCCACATGGACGCACATTTTTTTAACCATCAGTGTACACAGTCAATAAAATATGTCTTTAAAGTAAGAAAGCCATCTGTAACATATTATCAAGGGAGATTATCAATGATGTGGTAAACACTGTAGCTCATGTTATAAAATGCTAGCTCTGGAAGAGAAAGCTCTTCTCTTTTTTGTAGAATTTACACAAGGGTCTATTATCCAGTATTGAATGTGCATTTGATATTCAACATTGACTTTCTTTAATAAAAGCCCTTGGCTGAAATTTGGTACCTTTTCCCCATATATCATGTAAGAACAAGAGTTTATCCAGTTTTACTAGAGAAGACTATTTCTCTCAAACTCATGTTTGAATTCTATAATTCCTAAGTGAGGTCTATATATAAGCTTGTCTAATTTCCAACTGCAAACATTTTTCTTTTAAAGACCTTAAAAAATATAATGAAACCCAAGCATGACTGATTTGAAAATGATACCAAGAGCGAAAGAGGCTGTGCCCTCGCCTCCCACTAGCACTATACCTGATGTCTCGCGTGTGAGTTCCTTCGTCCTCGGCTAGAAGCATTATCAGAAATACAGGATGAGAAAGAAGACAGAGTAAACACAGAAGAGATACAAGATACAGACCATAGGGTCTTAACAATTTATCCAATATAATGAATTCCTCAAGTCGTGGGAAATCAAAACTTCCTGTGCTTCAGAGCTACCCTAACAATGGGTGTAAAAAATTATTTGGGCCATCTCATTTGCATGAGTAAAAAATGAAACATTTTATCAGGTAGCTCTTTGCCTAAAAAAGGCACAAATTATGGCTTTTTTTTTTTTTTTAGTAAAGAAAGAGGCCTTTCTTTTTTGTCAGCATAATACCCACATTTATTTCCTTTCTGAAGGCACTCAAACCAAATATTCTTTCCTCTCTGACTTCAGGAAATATTATATTGATTTTCTGGGAAAGCAAAGAGCCCCAGGACAGACTTGGACATAATGACCTGCCTCCTTTTATGAGAGGCTGAGACCATTATATTAAGAAGCGTGGAGATCAGCCACCCAGATGGCTGGTGCCAGTACCTTGACGAATGTTTCCAAATCCCCATTAAACAACTTAGCATTATACTGTGAGCGGGGTCTGGACTTCCTGTGTTTCTGGGGTTTAGGGGGAACATTTGGAGGCCTAAGGGAAGGGAATATAATTACTGAGCATGGCAGAAATCAAACAATATATGAAACACCCATAGGTCACATTAAAATGACAAAACACAGGACTTCTGTGTTTCTTCCCCACCCACCCCCCTTGGGGGGAAACAGTCCTTCCCCTTTCCCGTTTATTTACTTAACTTATGTATAATCAACCATATGAGCTATTCATTCAGTCGACTCTTTTCTTGTATGTTGTAGTTGACAACCGTTTGCTAGTTTAACAAAGGCAAGCATCACCAGATGGAATTGTGAGCTATTTGGCCGAGTGTTACAAACCAAGGTTTATGTTATTTGGCTTACAAGCCACACAGAGACATGAGTCAGAAAAATGAGGGCTCTAATAAATCCTAGTATGAGAAATTAAGTATAATATCTTTAATTACAACATAATTCTTCAATGCAAATAACATCACATCTGTTCAATATCCCTTGGATATTCACAGGATTTCGTTTTATGCAAAAATAACTACTAATGGGCCACAAGTAAAAAAAAAAAAATGAGTTTGGTTTCCATGCTACTTTTGGTGGGGGGGAGGGGCTTATATGAATTTATTTAAAATAAACCACCTCATCACTTAAATATTTGTAAAGAAGTAGGATGCACCCATTTATTCTGTTCTGGACTCTCTCCACCTCCAGTCTGTGTGTTCGGCCGGGTAAACCAGTCTGACATATGCACATCCAGAACATCATGTACTATATTTAGAAATGCTGCATCATCTTACTCTATAATTAAAGAGAGGGAACCTCTTCTGTCCTTCTTTTAGAGCAAAGAGGACCAGGGTTATATGACTCAGCTTCTACAACTGTGCTGAATGGAACACATGGAAGAAGAGTCCCAAGACCTTCCTCCGGAGATTCCAGTATAAACTCCTTCTTAATTGGAAGGCTTATCTGAGGATGTACATTACACCTGAAAAATAGGTAAAGCCCTTCATTAAGCTGTAAACTCTCTAGGAATAATTCTATTTGGTTCATTAAAATTTAGAAAGGCCAGTTTAGAAACAAAATCCCAAGAATTTGTGTGGTGTCTGACTAGCTTCATAAGAGATTATTCCCACAGCAATCAAGAGAGGTAGGGGGAACAAACTTGCTGATACAGCCTTCCAGAGCCAAATTCTGAGACTCTTCCAGCAGCTGGGCTCATACGACGAATGGAGTATATAGCAAGAAGCACTTGAAGCCCCACGGTGCCTTGAGAGGTTAAAAGGAGCCTTAGCAAATGTCTAGAAGCAAATATGGACATGTCCACTAGGTAGCTTGTCATGTCCCGCCATGGCTGAAATGGTTGAAATCTCTTTTATATACTGAATTCTGTGCCACTTACAGAGTAAAGGATCTGGTAGTTATAAAACAAACAAAAACCTATCCAAGTTATTAAAATATGCCTGATTTCATCCATTATTCTTTTCATTATTTTACAAGTATTTTAAAATGCAGACTCTACTTTCATTTAGGTACGGCAAGGCCAATAGATAAAGAATTGTTTTTGGAAAGACAGCTTGTTACTTACTGGTCCCAAGAGGAGAGGGCATGCCACTTCACGGGATCGTGGCGCACATGGGGAAGCACCAGGGCCAGTCAGGAGGCAGAGAGGACATGGGGACATGTGGGCAAGAGCCTCTGCTGCGACTCCCATGAGAGGGAATGGGCCAGGTAGGCTATGCGGGTTTAGGATTGGCTAGTTTGTATAATTTTGGTGAGCTCTGGGGAACAGGGATTGTTCTTAAGTGTTTGGTGCCTGTCCTTATGGGGGTCAGAGAAGGGGAACAGTGGCCATGCAGGTGAGAGCCTGATAAAGGAGGTGATGAGGATCTATGAGCTCTGGGCTGGCTGGTTTGTAAAGCCAAGGCATACCTGTAAACCAGTCCTTTACTCTCTTTAGGAATTGGCTTGCCTTGGGATCAGCCATCCCTCCAGAGTTAGCAAGTCCCCAGGATATCAAAGCATCAACTACAGAAACTAGAAAATGTGGTTATCAGAAGGTACAAGAGAGCCGCACATTTTTGTGGCTTTTGGAGCGGCTGATGAAGCTCAGGGGTTGAGAACACAGGCTCATTTGGTCTGGGCATTGACTTGTGCGACAAGCAAATGATAGCTGGGGCCAACACCTCAGGCACTGGGTAAGTGTTCCTGCATGACTAAGAGATGTCAAGTAACCTCTGGCTGTTGCTAACAGAAGGATGCTTCCGAAGTCTTCTAGAGGCCTGAAAATTGCAGGAAGGGAATATAATTACTGAGCATGGCAGAAATCAAACAATATATGAAACACCCATAGGTCACATTAAAATGACAAAACACAGGACTTCTGTGTTTCTTCCCCACCCACCCCCCTTGGGGGGAAACAGTCCTTCCCCTTTCCCGTTTATTTACTTAACTTATGTATAATCAACCATATGAGCTATTCATTCAGTCGACTCTTTTCTTGTATGTTGTAGTTGACAACCGTTTGCTAGTTTAACAAAGGCAAGCATCACCAGATGGAATTGTGAGCTATTTGGCCGAGTGTTACAAACCAAGGTTTATGTTATTTGGCTTACAAGCCACACAGAGACATGAGTCAGAAAAATGAGGGCTCTAATAAATCCTAGTATGAGAAATTAAGTATAATATCTTTAATTACAACATAATTCTTCAATGCAAATAACATCACATCTGTTCAATATCCCTTGGATATTCACAGGATTTCGTTTTATGCAAAAATAACTACTAATGGGCCACAAGTAAAAAAAAAAAAATGAGTTTGGTTTCCATGCTACTTTTGGTGGGGGGGAGGGGCTTATATGAATTTATTTAAAATAAACCACCTCATCACTTAAATATTTGTAAAGAAGTAGGATGCACCCATTTATTCTGTTCTGGACTCTCTCCACCTCCAGTCTGTGTGTTCGGCCGGGTAAACCAGTCTGACATATGCACATCCAGAACATCATGTACTATATTTAGAAATGCTGCATCATCTTACTCTATAATTAAAGAGAGGGAACCTCTTCTGTCCTTCTTTTAGAGCAAAGAGGACCAGGGTTATATGACTCAGCTTCTACAACTGTGCTGAATGGAACACATGGAAGAAGAGTCCCAAGACCTTCCTCCGGAGATTCCAGTATAAACTCCTTCTTAATTGGAAGGCTTATCTGAGGATGTACATTACACCTGAAAAATAGGTAAAGCCCTTCATTAAGCTGTAAACTCTCTAGGAATAATTCTATTTGGTTCATTAAAATTTAGAAAGGCCAGTTTAGAAACAAAATCCCAAGAATTTGTGTGGTGTCTGACTAGCTTCATAAGAGATTATTCCCACAGCAATCAAGAGAGGTAGGGGGAACAAACTTGCTGATACAGCCTTCCAGAGCCAAATTCTGAGACTCTTCCAGCAGCTGGGCTCATACGACGAATGGAGTATATAGCAAGAAGCACTTGAAGCCCCACGGTGCCTTGAGAGGTTAAAAGGAGCCTTAGCAAATGTCTAGAAGCAAATATGGACATGTCCACTAGGTAGCTTGTCATGTCCCGCCATGGCTGAAATGGTTGAAATCTCTTTTATATACTGAATTCTGTGCCACTTACAGAGTAAAGGATCTGGTAGTTATAAAACAAACAAAAACCTATCCAAGTTATTAAAATATGCCTGATTTCATCCATTATTCTTTTCATTATTTTACAAGTATTTTAAAATGCAGACTCTACTTTCATTTAGGTACGGCAAGGCCAATAGATAAAGAATTGTTTTTGGAAAGACAGCTTGTTACTTACTGGTCCCAAGAGGAGAGGGCATGCCACTTCACGGGATCGTGGCGCACATGGGGAAGCACCAGGGCCAGTCAGGAGGCAGAGAGGACATGGGGACATGTGGGCAAGAGCCTCTGCTGCGACTCCCATGAGAGGGAATGGGCCAGGTAGGCTATGCGGGTTTAGGATTGGCTAGTTTGTATAATTTTGGTGAGCTCTGGGGAATAGGGATTGTTCTTAAGTGTTTGGTGCCTGTCCTTATGGGGGTCAGAGAAGGGGAACAGTGGCCATGCAGGTGAGAGCCTGATAAAGGAGGTGATGAGGATCTATGAGCTCTGGGCTGGCTGGTTTGTAAAGCCAAGGCATACCTGTAAACCAGTCCTTTACTCTCTTTAGGAATTGGCTTGCCTTGGGATCAGCCATCCCTCCAGAGTTAGCAAGTCCCCAGGATATCAAAGCATCAACTACAGAAACTAGAAAATGTGGTTATCAGAAGGTACAAGAGAGCCGCACATTTTTGTGGCTTTTGGAGCGGCTGATGAAGCTCAGGGGTTGAGAACACAGGCTCATTTGGTCTGGGCATTGACTTGTGCGACAAGCAAATGATAGCTGGGGCCAACACCTCAGGCACTGGGTAAGTGTTCCTGCATGACTAAGAGATGTCAAGTAACCTCTGGCTGTTGCTAACAGAAGGATGCTTCCGAAGTCTTCTAGAGGCCTGAAAATTGCCTCTCTTGAGGGTTCTAAAGTATGAGGCAAATGTGAAGATACTGAAGTTGTTAGAGGGACTTGAGATGAAAACAAATTGCTCAAGTGTTTATCAAAATAATTTCCATGGCAGAGGGGGCTTATCAGGCCAACTGGTGTGCTGATGATTCTGGTTTTGCTATGTACACATCAGGTCAACAGAGCCAGGGCCATCCCACATTTGAATTGTATGACTCGTCCTGGTTCTGTGCTTACCACACAAGTTCCTGATCATCTGGCTTCATACGCAGAATGCCCATGTAGGGGAGAGTAAGTACAGGTCAGGTTGATGTGAATATCTAGTTTGTTTGGCAATGACAGCTCTCATTGCAGTTAATGTATTTGCATTCTTTCCTTTAAAAGAAATTTCTTTTTGAAGTGCCTTACATTAATTATAATTTAGAAACAGGTATAGTAGTTAATAGTGCAAAGAAACCCCATATGTGAAAAAGGTTACATAAGCTGTATATTACTATGCAGAAGTAACATTCCTCTTTGTCACTGACATGGGGAAGGAAAAAAGCCTCAGTATTTTTGTAAAGTTTAGACAAGTCAGTGGCTTTATCTTTCTAGTTGACTCCCCAAGAAAGAGGCTTTCCTTTTCAATAAATTGCCCAGCTGGAACATTACAGAACCTTGAAAATCAACCTGTCAATTACTACAACTGATACACCAGTGTGTTAAATGCCTCTCACCTCAAAAAGAACTCAATTTCAAAAGTGTAAAGTCTTGCTATGTTAGTTAGAATAATTTCTGGCTGTTGCACAAGTGTTGACATAGAAAAATAAAGTTGCTACATACTTTCCCCAACCCAGATAACAATCTGCTTCCAAAAAGACTTTTCTTTCCCAGCAGTAGCTTTAAAATCCTTCCATGAATGAAAATAAGAGGGGAAAAAAAAGTACAATATAGTAGGTGTTAAAAGCTAAATCTTTGAAGTGAACCCTAAAGGGGAAGACAGCTAAAATCCTCAGAGTATATAATATAGTTCTAATTCCTAGGACATAAGTAGGAACAGAAAGTGACTAATCATACCTTCTATTTGCTAACACAGTAGATATGTACATAATATTGCTTGTTAATTGAATCATATCAAAAGTCTTGTTAGACTATTTATAGGAACTTCAAGTGTTTTGGATTAGATTAAACCAAACCCATCCAATTTAGGTCTTTTTTACTGACTCTACTCATTAAAGAGCTTTATGATTACACTGGGAAACCTTCATGCCTGCCCAAGCAAATCTGGTTTTGGGAGAACCCCAAATGTTTCATGTCACTGTTTTGTCAAGCCAACACCATCTTTCACGTTCTTTAACAAAACAGGTTCATTCTTACAGCATGCTAGTGGTTGCTTCTTGTTAAAAAGACAGCAAGACACAATATAATTTATAATAAAATATTTCCTACCTTGTAGTCATATATTCAGCTCTATGGCCTGCAGAAAAAAAATTTAAATAAATTGAATGGAGTCAGAGGAATGCATTTGTTAATCTGACAAACAAATAATTCAAAGTAAATTTTGTAAAATCTATACATAAAACCTACTAAATTCTATAGATTAGAGAAACATGTTTCACTTGGCAATTTGAGTCAATTTGTGTGTGTGTGTGTGTGTGTATGTGTGTGTGTTTTCTTAAAACAGGAAATAGCTGCTTGGCCTTGTCTGTAAGTTCAAGGATAAAATACAAACAAAACATATCTAAGTTTTGAATGTTAGTTATTCTCATTGCTTGATTGATCCTTTTTGGGGAGAAGTAGGGAGTCAAAGAGGGTTAGGAGAACTCAATTTCCCTTAGATTAAATTGGTGTTCTCTCTATAGTATGCATTCAGGCACAGAAGTTGCATTTCATAATCAGAAATAACATCTGCAGATATTAAAGCACAAGGACATTAAATTACACTATGTTCTGTGTACCCTGTGAACTAAAAGCTTTTCACAGTGTTCTCTGTCACTGAACACATTACGTTCTTCTTATACATTCTGGCTTCTAGACTCATTTTAAATATTTGTGTAGTGTCCCTACAATTTGTGCTATCTTGAAGTTTGGATGTGTCTATGGTTGCTGTCTGTTCTTTCTTAAAATTAGGGTGGAGCAGTGGGAGGGTGATGTGTTAGAGTGAACAATTCAGCTGGTGTGTCTGCAAAATGATTATATGGTCTTAAAAAACAGCTTGAAAATGCAGCTGGCAGAGAATGGTCATATTGCAGCACAAACAGGTGAGCCTAGCCCATCATACCACGATGAAGTGATTCAGGCTGATGTAGCAATTGTAGAGAAAGCTGGCCTGCTGGGAATGGTGAAGGAACACTCCTAGGCGGGCTGCAAGGAGTCTTTTATTCTATTATCTGCTTTTGAATAGCAAGTAACAAAGTATTTGAAGAATATTTATTAAAGAGGTAGCAACAGTTAATATCAGAGAATACCATTCTCAACACAGACCCAGGCCACTGTAAGTGTTGGTAGAATAAATCCTTAGCCATGACTCAGAGTGGGTATGGGGGAAGAAGAAAGATCTGATTTTTTTTCTTCAATACCCAGTTCTACCTACCGTTTAACTATAAATCCCTTTATTTTGCTGACCCTCTGCTACTTTGGGGGAGAAGGAAAAAGAGGGGGTATTCATAAGTGGGAAAGAAGGTCAGAAAGCAGAGCAGCAGACTGTGAGCTGAGTGTGGCATGTGGTATGTTACGAAATTTCTTCAACAGGAAGCTGGTGATACAGTTAAAGCACAGAGAGAAGATAGCGCAGACTAAGATTTGAGGGTCACTACCATGTAGGTTGTGTGGGGGCTGTGGGAGCTAGCTGAGATCACCCAGGGCGAGTCAGTAGAATGGGTAAAGCATTGAGGGCAGAGAAACTATCTGGCTTATGCTGTATTGCATGCTGTCATGTTGCATACTTTATCGTAACACAAAATATGACATAACATATATTAGTAACAACAAAACAGCAATGATGCCTAACATTTTTTTAGGCACTATTCTAAGCACTTTCTATATATTACTTCACAATTTTCATAACCACCTCATGAAGTAGGTACTATTACTATTATTTTATAGGAGAGATTGAACATGAAGGCAAGGAGCTTGCCCAAGACCATATATTTAGGAAGTGATGGGTCTGGCACTAGGGGCCAGGTTTAATTCTAGACCTGAACTCCCAAATAGTACTGTAAAAATGTAAAGACCCCAGCAAATACTTTGAAAAATCCTACAGGAAAGGTAGGGATTATGGGTTACACTTCTCTCTGCTCCATATGGCTAAACCAAAACCAAAATGCTGATGATATAATAAATTTAATAATTTATATAAATTACTTTAATGAATACCTATAAAACTAAACTGGATTACAGATTAATCATTTTCAAGTGATTCGATGATAAAAACACTAATGACAATTCCTTAGAAATGAAATGCTTTGTACCTTGAAATCTTGCTATTTTTGTTAAAATATCCCAACCAAATATTCTCTAGATTTGGAAAAAAATCATTTTGCTCCATCCATGGTTAATAGTGTGAGATAAAAAAATAAAAAAACCTATAAAAAAATCCATTTTGGTTAATGAACCAAGAGCAAGCTTTGCAAGAACTATCATTCATGGTGTAATAACTGCCATCATCACATCCACTGTTTTTTTCAGCTAATAGTGGTACTAAGTATGTCTCAACTGATGAATGACGTTTTATTATTTAACCAGTATCATCATAAATAGATCAATAACACACAGGCTTAGGAGAATCTGCTTCCCAGAGAAATGTGAAAGCTTTCAATGGTTTGAGGATTAGATTTCAATCATTTTCTTTGTAAGTCTACCTAATAATTAAAGACAACAGACAATACCCCCCACTGTCCCACAATATAAACCACTTGGTTAGAAAAAAATGACCCATGACCCAGGATGATCTTGTTGTTGGTACAAATACCTACTTTGACTAACTCGTACAATTTCTCTTGAGAATTAGGAAGATAATTTTTATCACACCCAAATATATTTTATTTCCACAGAGTAAAAGGGAAAACCAAACATAGTTTGGTAGCAATTTGAGATTAAAACAAAACAAAATAAAACCCAAGCAGATAAAATACTTAAAATGCATACAGCTCACACTGAACAGAGGCACCCAGGATTTGGTCCCTAGTGAACAACGGATAAGAACTCCTGGTGTTTCTTTCCAGTCCTTGCCTTCCTTAATACCAACTACTGCGGCCCTCTCCGAAAAACACAATTATTCACTATCAGCTGCTCATTTGAAAGTGTATTTGTACTCCAACTCAAGACAGAAAATGGATTGGTAAGGATAACCTCAATTCCTTTTTCAGAGAACTTATGCCCAGGTCCAGAAACAGTATCACATGAAACTCTAATGTCAGCTGTTCTGTGTTTAGCAAAAACTGTGCCAGTATTTATACCCCCTTAAGCCCAAAGGTTGCCCACAAAGAAGTCAATGTGAACATTAAACTCACTACTAAAATTAAAAGGAAAAGAATTCAGTGCCTCGGTTTTACAGATGTCTATCCCCATGTACTGTGCTTGATGTAGCTTCTATGATCTAAAAACAAATGACATCACAAAAGGATGTAACGGTGTTGTTAAAGAAAGAAGATGATGATGACGACTTTGATCTTAACAACTCATTATGTGCTTCTTTTTATTTCAACAGTTTTCAAAGCTTTGGAATTCTGAATTTTGACAGTGCCACTTTAAGAGCCCAATCTAATTGCTTCACAATGTTGTGAATCAAAGGCCTCACTGAGCCACTGGTAGCCTGCCAAAATCCAGCAGCATGACAGGCCAAACACTTATCTGTAGTTACAGTTTCAGCTGGGTACAATCAACTGTTAAGGCCCTGGGTTATGCTCTATTTGTTTTACTATGAAGGCAGTTTTTCTGCAGTGAGTCTAGTATAAGTCAGAAGCATGATTTCTATATAAGAAGTCAGAATTGTCCCCAAACATACCACTTAATCCCACGCTACTAACCTGATGAGCCATACCCACACTTGGATTCTTTCTTAAGGGCCCTCCAGTGGATTATCTCGCCATGGGACAGGCGCCAGTAACTCTCCTCTCCTTGGTGTAATTTATTAACTCAAACAGGCCTTGCATGGAAAGCCAGCAGGCCCACAAGGGTCAGGTTAAAAGGTAGGACACATCCTCCATGCACAGCTTTTCTCTGGCAAAGCCCAGGTGTGACCAACAACTGGTGTGCTGTCAAGCCTGCAAGTGTGGGGCAGGGCTGGGGAGCAGGGAGGTCTGGAAGCAGCCGGCAGAGGCTACTGTGTCTGCTGCCCCCGGAAGAGGGCTATCGAGCTTCTTATGTTATGTAGATTAAATCCCGGCTGGTGAAGGCCCGGTACACCTGAACACAGCTTGTGTCACTAGGACACTGGAACCCACGGACAGAAATTCTAAGATAAAGCAATCTTGGCTTAGAGTTCACAAGGTCCAATATAGCTTTACACAGTTCAGCAGCTGGAGACAGAATCTGGCACACGGATTGAGCAAATTGGCTAAAATACAGCCCTATCCAATAAGGCATGTAAAATAGTATGAACCACTGGGGCTTCGTTTCCAGGAGACAAAGAGAATCTAGAATAAGCACTGTAAGTTTCAGAATGGGACCCCAAGTGTATTAACACACATGTCTGCATGTGGTGCCGAGAATGAATTTCCTCCAGCTCACAAGGTCTAAGTGGTGTTCAGTCCTGCAGGGGAGGACTTTGTGCCTGTAAGTATTCATCTACACTTAGCATAGTTTATGCTTTGCGACTGGCACTGACCTCGGGTGCATCACTGAAATACCAGGCATTTGTGGAAAAAAAAAGACCTTACATAATACTATGAAGGAAAAAAAACAAAACAGGACAGGATTGCTGAAGTGAGACAACTATTCCAAGAAGTAAAAGGGCTTTTTCTTAAAAAAAAAGTTCAAACCTGTTACAGAGGAGTTGAAAGATTAGTACGGGGAACACTGATGTGCCCTTCACCAAGGTTTCCGGGTTATTAACACTGGGCCACAGCGGCCTCATTTCCTCCTCTCTCCTCTCTCTGTATCTTTTTTACTGAGCTGTTTGAGAGTAAGTTGCAGATATTATGACACTCAGCAAGCATTTCTTATGAGTAAGAATGTTCTCCTTCATAACCATAATACCACTACCATATCTATGAAAATTAACATTAATTCAATATCATTTAATATAGCTTATATTTAAATTTCCCTAATTGTCTTTAAAATGCCTTTTATATCTTTTGCTTTTTGATTCAGAATCTAATGAAGGTTCACACATTGTATTTAAGTTGTTCTGCTTTTTAGGATACTTTTTAGTAGTTTAAATGTTAATTTCTTTTCTAAGTGAAATCAGCCTTTTATCTTAGAATCTGGCACCCTAACTGTACTATGTGGACTCTTAGGTCATGATGACCTTTCTCCATGTGCCCATTCCCTGAGGACAGTGGGTCCTCTGGGGGAAACCAAGAGATAAGCTGATGGAAAAGCTGCTTTATGGGTAAGGAAGGCTCTAGAATGGTAGGAGGCAAGAGTTTACGTCAAAGCGCAGCAATCTCTTTTTGCCCTGTGCTATTCACACAACTCAGTCCCCTCCTATCCCATTCCCATCCATATTCCCTTTCATTTTTTATAACTTCCAGCAGAATCTAGCACGAATAAAAGATAATTCAAGTTACAGACCATGAGGCATTTTGTGTGTATGGTCAGAGACTTTGCCTGTATTCATTTTTCCCTTTTAAATTTCATGAAGATGGAAAGAGAAATGGTAACATTCACACAGTCCCTTCTGGCTACAATCCCTTTTTCCTCCTCTGTGAAAATGGGGAAATTAACAGTGCCTAGTTAAATATATAGCTCAGAACAATGCCTGGCATGGAGGAGGCCTTATATAAGCAGTAGCTATTGTTTTTGTTACTATTATTACATATAGCAATATACTTAATTAGATTGTATCTCAACTAAAACCAATGTCTATGGAAAGAGGAAAAAAGGTCACCCAAACTGGCTTAACTGGTTTGTAGAGTCCAAAAAGGCATTAGATGTGACAGCAAATATTGGCCCATTAAAACAAACAGGGTGGGGCTGGAAAGGTGAAGTCCAAGAGGGAAAGGAAGAAGTGGTCAGCATGTGGAGCAGCTCCTTCCGACTTCTCCACTGTGGGGAGTACCATGCTCTCAGGAGCCTTCGTCAGCACTCGGTGTTGGCTTTTCAGCTCTCCCTAGATTTCACTATTTCCCCCCAAGATTAGCACCAAACTTACAAAGGAAATAGTTACAGATGAAGCTAAATGTAAATATACAGTGTTCTCTGCTTCTAAATAATGACACACAGTCCCCTTTGGCTATAATCCCTATAAATCCACAATTCACACTCTTCATGGAATATATACGTGGCACAATATATAACCCACATCACCCTCACACCTATTTCAAATAACTGACCTTCTCCCAGGGTCTTTTGCAACAAGTCATGTTTGGCTTGAAGTTTTGTGATGAGATTACTACCTTCCAAGTATTCTCTGAGTTTCTGCAAAAGGAAAGATACAATTTTTACTTTAAAAAAAAGTATTCAATGTCAAGGAATTTCCTATAGGATATCTAAAATCTAGCCACTTTTATCTTCTAGATCCTAGAACCTTGCTACTCAAAGAAAGTGTGGTCTCCCGGAGACCAGCAGCATCAGCCATCTAGGCTGATTAGCATCCCAAGGTTAATAGCATTGGGAGCCTATTAGAGATTCAGACTCCTAGGTTCCTCCCTCCCCAGTCCCATCAGAACCTGTAATTTTAATAAGTTCTTCTGGTGACATGTGTACACTACAGTTTAAAAGTTCTGTTTTAGAGCAGTCCTCTTGAAATCTGTCTGTGTGTCAAAACTCCCTAGGAACTTTTGAAAAAGTACTAACTCCTAAACCCTATCCCAGACCAATTGAATCACGCACCCCTAGGGTAGACAGGAGTCCATAACTTAATAAAGAACCCCAGGTAACTCCAACGCAACTCCAAAAGCAGCATGTGGGGACCCAGGTCTGAGCCCCAGGAGTGGCTGGGGAAGCGACAGGCGCACCATGAAGTAGAATTGCTCCGTCTCCTGCTGGTTTGCTCTTCTCTTGGCAATGCTGGGCTTACTCAGGTAGGTTTCGGAGACAGTAGACTTCACAGACTCTGTGGATCGGCTGTGCTGGAAACATTCAGAAACATCATAATCCTCAATGGTGACCATATCTTGTATTGTCTGCAAGGTGGCTTCAGTTGTTTTCTTAACCTGGGAACAGCAACACATTTCTCACCTTAGTACATTATTATTATTTTTTTAAATTTTAGTATCACTAATGTACAATCACATGAGCAACATTATGGTTACTAGACTCCACCCATTCTCAAGTCCCCACCACATACCCCATTACAGTCACTGTCCATCAGCGTAGTAAGATGCTATAGAGTCACTACTTGTCTTCTCTGTGCTATACTGCCTCCCTCATGCCCCCCGCTACATTATGTGTGCTAATCATAATGCCCCTTATTCCCCTTCTCCCTCCCTTCTCACCCACCCTCCCCAGTCCTTTTCCCTTTGGCAACTCTTAGTCCATTCTTGGGTTCTGTGAGTCGGCTGCTGTTTTGTTCCTTCAGTTTTTGCTTTGCTCCACAGATGAGTGAAATCATTTGGCACTTGTCTTTCTCTGCCTGGCTTATTTCACTGAGCATTAGAGAGAGACAGCTAAACAATACCCCATTATCACTAGTCGGAGGCTTTCTTCAAAATTATCCTGAGGATATCACTTTTTATTTGAGTCCTTATAAGTCCCATGTATCACTGGGTGCTCTTCCAATTACTTTTTCTTTGTTTTAAATAACCTTTTTAATTGAAGTTAAAGTACAAAAAGAAAAATGTGTATACACTTACAGACCATAAGTGTACAGTCTAAATCATGGTACAAAGTGAACATACATACACTGACTGCCACTCAGATCAAGAAACAGTATATCATGAGTATATTGTATTTTCCCAATCACCACACACCCTTTTCTCCTCCACAAATGTAGCCACAGTCCTGTTTTTTAACATCATATATTAGTTTTTTCCTTTCTTTTCTGTATTTTGCAAATGGAATCCTATAGCATGTATGATTTTTGTTTCTTTTGCTCAACTTTATCTACTAAGATATATTTATTTCTTGTGAGTATAGTATTTCATTGCTGGATGTTCACTGTAAGCATCCATCATAATCCCTTTTCCTGTTGATAGATGACTGATTTCTAATTGGGGTGATTATTAATACTACAGCTATAAACACATTTTTGTTAGACCATATATATATATATATATAAATAGAATTGCTGCTTATAGGGTTTGCCGGGCTATTTTCCCAAGTTATTGTTCTAATTTGTATTCCCACCAGCACAGTAGGAGAATTCCTGTTACTCTACATACTCAAGACTTGATATTATAAGTTTTTAAAATTTAAACCACTGTGTTGGGTAGGTAGAGGTATCTCATCATGGGTTTAGTATACATTTCTCTGATGACTAAGATTGAGCACATTATATCACATGTTTGAGACAGTTCGGAATTCCTCTCTTGGAAATATTGTTCAAATCTCTTCATCAATCTTCTACTGGGTTATGAGTCTTTTTGTTAATTGTAGATATGGATATAAGCTTTTTGTTAATGTGTTGCAAATATCTTTTACCATTTTGTGGTCTGGCTTTTCACTCTTTCTATAGTGTTTAGATGAACAGTCTCAAATTTTAATGGTATTATTTTACCAATTCTTTCCTTTATGATCAGTACTTTCTATGTCCTATTTAACAAACATTTTTCTACCTCATGGCCATAAACATACTGTGCTATGTTATCTTCTAGGTGCTTTTTAATTTATCTTCCACAATTAAGTCATACTCGACCTTTATCAAAATCCAATGTAAATCAATAGCTTAATTTTTTCCCCAATTTACAGGGGTTAGAACACCTTTATTCCGTTTCCTTTTTCTGACTTATATGCCATTTTTGTTAATATTTATAATAGGATATATATGTAAATATTAATATATTGAGATACTTTTATATATAATAGTATTCAGTTCTTTCTACTCACATACTTATTATATTATTTGATCTCTATTTCTTATATTTTAAAGAGCACTTTCCCTTTAGAAATTCTTTTTAGCATGGGTCTGTTGGTGGTGAACTCTGTTTTTGTTTACCTAAAGTAACTTTTATTTCACCTTCATTTGTGAAATATATTTTTCCTGCCTGGCAGTTATTTTCTTTCAATACATTGAAGATATCACTATATTTTCTCATGGCTTCTATGTTCCCATTGATTGAGAAGTTTATGGTCAGTCTATCACTACTTTGAATGAATTCTTACTTTTCATCTCCAGCTGCTTTTCAAGTTTTCTACAGCTTTACCATGAAATGTCTAAAAAGGATTTTAAAGATATATTCTACCTGGATTTTTTTTTTGTATCTCTTGAATTGTGTGATGTTTTCTATAAGCTCTATTAAGTTTTCAGCTTTTATCTTTGCAAATATTGACTCTACTTTCTTTTGTATCATTTTTCTTTCTCAGAGTTTAGTATGCTAAACATCACCGTGTTCTCTGTCTCTCTTACCCTTCTCTTTATATTTTCTATCATTTTGTTTTTCTATGTTGCATTTTCATTATTTCTTTTCTAATTTGCCTTCTACTTTGATTAGCCACTCTTCAACTGTGTCTAATCTGATGTTAAAACCACCCACCAATTTTTTAATTTGGTTTATTGTATTTCTCAGTTCTAGAATTTCTTTACAGTTCACTTTCAAGTCCATTATTTCACTGTTTATAGGTTATAGTTCCCTGCTGAAACCTAAGTTTGGTTTTCATCTCTTTGAATACAAAAAGTAGGTCTTTTACAGTTTGCCTCTGATAATCCCAATATTTGGAGTCCCTCTTGGTATGTTTCTATTGCCTGTTATTTCTTCTGGCAATCATTAACAGTTTTTGTTTATTCATGTGCCTAGTTATCTTTGCTGGATATTTTTTCATAGTGTTGATGTCTAAAGTGAGGTCACCATCCTCCAGAGAGAATATTTGTTTACTTTTCCAAGCTATTACAGATACTAATAATTCAGAATCACTGGATTTTATTTCTGTTCAAAATTTCTGATTCTCTTCCTTTTGGGAACAAATGGTCCATGCGTCACGGGCTTCAGGGTTGGCCATGCACCTTGTTCTGGACGGTGAAAGGTCAATCAGCTGAGTGACTCAGTCCACCATTATGGGAAGTAGAAATATTTTCGATTAGTTATTTTTTAAACAACAAAATAGTGTTTAGGGATAGAACAGCAGTCAGTGCTAGAGATCTTTAAAGAGATCATATGATGGAATAACTAAAAAGGGAAGTAAACACAGTCATTATTCCTGGGGATATGCACAATACAAAATATATTATTGGAAAAAAGTATATTAAAGGTCATTGTAAAAACTAATATTGAAAGTAGTTATTTTAAGGAAGTCATGATTATATATCTATAGGATGAATGAAAAGATTCATCACCCTGCAGTGACATCAGCAAGATGGCAAAATAGAAGGTCCCCTACTCATACGTCTCTGTAACCCACCCCTGGAACAATAAGTTGCCGGCAATCTATGGACAAAAGAGCATGAGTGGGAGCTTTTGGATCCAGGGAGGAGCTTAAAAAACCTTGGTGGAGCCCAAGACTGAGGAGGACCAAGTTGGGAAAGTTTGCCAACTGTGGTTCTGCCTATTGTCCCAGAAACAGCTGGGTCCTGTTGAGGACTCAGCTACAGTTGTTTGTCCTCGGTCCTACCACCAGCACCATCTACTACAGGGCCTGGAGGAGTCACGCCCACTGTGCCTCTGGTAACAGGCATGCTGACCTTGGTCCTAGCTGTGGACCCTGCAGCAGCACACGGCACAGTTCCAAGCTCAGTCCTGGTCTGGAAGCAGTGACTTGCAGGAACGCACACCTGTCCGTGCTCCTAGAGGCAGGCCTGCCAACCTTGGTCCAGTGGCAAATCTTGAAGTGGCCCTGCAACTCTGCTCTAGCCCCTCCCATCCAGTGTAGAAGGAGTCCTGCCCACCCAGAGAAGAAGGGGGAGAGGAACATCCATGCTTCCAGAAGCAGGCCTGCTAACCTTGGTTTCACTTCAGATCTTAAAGTGGCCCTGTAACCTGGCCCTGACAATCCGGACTGCAGTCTGGGAGCAGCTCTGCTTGATAAGGGACCAAGTGGGAGACATGTCCATCTGTACTTCTGGAGGCAGGCCATGCTGGGGATCCTGAAGCAGACCCATGACTCAGTTACAGCTGCATTCAGCTGTGGTCTGGGACCAGTCCTACCTTCCAAGGACTATCCAGTGACGTGGCAAGTGCCACACCCATTCAAGCATCTGGAAACAGACACACTGTCTGTGGACCAACTATGGACCCTGAAGTGGACCCTTGTCCCAGAACCAGACTTCCTGGCCAAGGTCACAGAGGGAGTAACCATCTGCCTAGGGACTAGACAGGATCCATGCCCACTTGAGCCCTTGGAATGAGACCCACAAACTGTGGACCCCACAGTGGACCCAGCAGCAACCATGTGATTCCTTGTCTTTTGTCAACAGCACTGTGTTTCTTCCTTTCTCAACTTCCTTCTTGGAAGCAAGAGTGTCAGGGTTAAATTTGGAATTGTCAGGAAGAATAAAGGATGGGGCAGAAAATACCAGACACATAGGCTGGGGCTATATATTATCCCAGGGGATGTTACTGATGAAGAATAATACCAACTTCTGACACACACAAGCCATGTTAGTAAGTCACAAGGAGGGACTATAATGAGGCAAATAGAAAACAGCTAAAATGAGACCTGTAATGACTCCCCATTAGCAGCAGGAGGACACAACTGCGTTTGGTAGAAGGAGAGGCCAAAACATGACAATGAAAAACCTGAAGAATATAGTTCACTGGAGGGGCTTCCAGGTGGTCTGGACTCTGAGATGCAGATCAAAGCGGATGAAGGGGGAGAGGGGACTTCTCCAGGCTGATTCTTTTGCCCTTTCTCTCCCAGGACATAACGACCACTGGAGAAGACCAACAGTTGTTTTGTGGTTTCCTTCTCCTAATGCACTGTATTCATTTTCTAGGAGTGCCACAGAGGTCCAAAGGCTGAGTGGCTTAAACAGCAGGAGCATTACCGTCTCACAGTCCGGAGGCTGAGGTCTGAGATGCAGGTGTGGGCAGGTGGGCTCCTCCTGAGGGCCGAGAGGGAAGGT